AACCTAAAATAACAGCACAGATTAGCTCTCAAAAGACAATGAGTTTATTTAAACAAAGGATTGCAAACAGGAATGCACTGGGTATAGCAAGTCATAGGTACATCTAAGAGGTTGGGGTAAGGGGAAACTTTTAAAGGCAAAAAGAAGTCCACAGAAGCTACTTTAAAACAAAGTTTATTGGTCACAGAAGCTGACTGCAGGAGTTGGCATTGGCTTATTGGTGGAGACAGCCATTGCTAGGCATGTGTTCTTGAGAGAACATTTTATCTGGAATGCTGCACTCTTGAATATAATGCAGTTACAGAAATACGTGTGTCCATGCAGAATGAGCAAAGTGTGTAAGACCTGCTGATGGTGTAAAGCATGCAGGATGTGCCATAATCTCTTGTGGGTTTTAGGGAGTCCTTGTGATAGTTCTTATCTCAGATATACAAGCGTGGGCTCCCCTCCTTCATGACCCTCCAGCTCCACTTCACCTGGATCTGACGATAGTGGACTTCATCTTGGTAGTAACAACTTTCACATCAAAGTTTTAAGAAAATATTCTTTTTCCTCTTGGAGTGTAGGTAGCAGGAGGCAAGACTGGAAGTGGGGAACCCAGCTGGTACAGTAGTTTGTGGAGGAGAGGTTGGAAGCTTGGAGGAAAGAAGTGTCTGTGAAAAGGCAGAGGAATGGACACATGGGAGAGGGATGTTAGAGCTGACATGAGCGGACTTCTTGATGAGAAAAGGAGGACTTTTGAATCACTCTCAGATTTCTGACTTTCAGGGTGGCTGGGTCCAAATACATAAGTGGAAGTTTTGGTGGTAGGGCAGTGAAGTGTTTCCTCACTGATAGTTTCTCTCTATTCTGTCAATGTGGCTTAAGGCAAGGCCATCAGCTGTCAGTGGGCAGTCAGGATCATGACTGGGGATAGCGGTGAGGATATTTGGTATAGGTAATTGTTTCAAAATATGGGAATACAAACTTGAGTGTAGGTTTTTGTGATAGTGTTGAGAGCTCTTCTGAAGATAAAAGTGAGACTGTCCCATAGATATTACTTTTTCCAGCCTATCCATTTGGAAAAACATGACAAGGTGGTTGAGTTTCTCTTTTCTCTCTGTTTGGACATGGATGATGCAAATGTGACAGAAGAGAAAGGTGCAGAAATGCTGAGGGAGTTTGAAAGGGTGCAATTATAGTGATAAACCATGAAACCTGGCTTTGAACCGGAAAGGGTGAATAAGTAAGGACAGCTGGAATCCATGGGTTGTGGAACAATGCATGGTGAAACAGCCCTTATAGTTTAAATAAAGAAGCAAAAGTGAATGGCAAGATGTGGTCTTATAGTTGGGGCATGACTGTTTCAGATTTTGATCTGGTGGTGAGGTTCTTGATGACTATGGCCATGGGTGTCTCTGGTGGGGTGTAGACAAGTGCAGTTGGAGAAGTGAGAGTGTTGAGGGTGTTGGGTGAATAATCTGTGTGGATGCTAGAATTGCTAAGAACTGTGGCAGTAGTTGGGTGTGGGGAAGCATGAGAGGTGAGAGCTAATATTATCACTAAAGATCAGGGTGTGGGAAGTATGGGGCATGATTATGTGTTGAGCAGATATGGTGAGAAGACTTTCTAGGTTGTTGAACACCTCTAGTGTTGGCTTATTGCATAAAGGGAGGGGAGCTCTGATTGGAAGTTGTAATGGTGACCTCCTATATCTGACTATCTACTATGTAGAGTGGGAAATTGAGATTTAGATTTGCTGTATTGAAAATACAATGGTTTCTTGAGGAAGTAGCCAGAGAAAGAGGCAAATGGATGTTCACATGGTTATTGAAGATGAAAACTGACATTTGGATACAAATTTCAGGAAGATTTGAAGATAAGTCTTAACTATAAAAGTGAGTTATGCCAGAGAGAAGAATATTGTGATAAGGACCAGTCAAATGAACATTGCTTTAGGTGTGTCTGACAAATTTCTATTTCTTGATTACATGATGTATGCCCTATAATATTTTCTTAACCAATTCCTTTATTTTGTTTGGTTTTCTGTATTTGTGTATGTGTGTTTTTTCTTCCATTTTAAAATTACCATAAGAAAACTAATAAAACACTCAAAAAATGAGGGAAATACTTTATATTTCATGGAAAAAAAACTTAACATTATAAGTATGTTAACAGCTTTATTTGTAATTGTTTTATTTCCTCTCCTTTACTTCCTCTCCCTCCTCACTTCCCATGTCCAATCTTTCCTCCTCCTTCTTCTTCTTCTGTTTTGAAACTGAGTCTCGCTCTGTTGCCCAGGCTGGAGTGCAGTGGTGCCATCTTGGCTCACTGCAACCTCCACCTATCAGGTTCAAGCAATTCTCCTGCCTCAGCCTCCCTAGTAGCTGGGAGTACAGGTACATGGCACCACACTAGGTTAATTTTTGTATTTTGGGTTACTGGTGTGAGCCACTGCTCCCGGCCCCAAGTCCAATCTACCCCAAAGTCTGGCCTGGATTATGTAATCACCATGTGGCTTGTTTGTGGTTTTACACAAGTCGAATCCATGAAGCAGAGTGTGTAATACTTCAAGCTCAGTCTGTTGGTTGAAGTAAGTTGTAAGGCAATGTCCCTGGATAAAAGGGGATGGGTAAGAGACTGCACATCATGATGGGGGAATGGCACATGTGTTCAGCAGAGAGAATGGCTGGAAGCTAGTTTTACAGATGCACAACTGTACCTGACAAACTATCAGATTGACAAATGTTCAAAAGCTTGACACTATACCCTGCTGGCAAGTTTGTGAGGGAAAAGGCATGTTTGCCAGTGGTGATGAAAAATGTTACAACCTCTATGGAGGGAATCTTGAATATCTAATAAATTTAAAAACACATTTACTCTGTCTTCCAAGTAGTCTTATAAGTAGCTAGGACTCAGGTGTGTGCCACGACACTTAGCTAATTTGTATATTTTATATTTTTGTAGAGATAGGGTTTCACAATGTTGCTCAGGCTGGTCTTGAACTCCTGGCCTCAAGGCGACTCTCCTGCCTCAACCTCTCAAGGTGCTGGTATTACAGGCATGAGCCACTGTTCTGGCCTATACTTCTCTTTGACCACAGTAATCCTACTTCTAAAAATTAACCATAAGGTCTATCAGCAGAATTATCCAACTGAAGAAGTGAGAAAAAAAGAACAAAAAAGAAAAGAAAGAGATCCTCAGGTACTGGAGGAACAATATCTAAAGGTCTAACAGATGTGTAGTTTGGGTCTCAAAATGAGGTGCAAGAAAGAATGGAACTGATTTTTGTTTTTGAGGCAATAATTGTGAAATTATTCAAATTAGGTAAAAAGCTGAAAAATTACTGATTAAAAAAGCTCATGGAACTTCAAGGAGGCTTAAAAACAAAGAAAGTTATATGTAGATGCCTCACAATCAAACTGAAAATTAAGACAAGGGGAAAAAAATTAAATGTAGCCAAAGGATGCAGGACAGAAAACGCCGGTACCTTAGTAGCATCAAGCACACCCGATTTTGATTACTCTCATTGTCCTCCAGTAATACAAACAGGATGATTTGGAGAAATTGTTGATTCTGGGGCTGAGGCTGGAAATATATCAGACAAACCTGGGGCATCTCATAATGTCAGAGTGAGTTTCCTTTCCCATGAAAAATCAAGTAAAACAAAACAAACACCACAATGGGGCACGTGAAAGGGTCCAGGAGGCAACTGAAAGCGCTTGTGATGGCCAAAACAGCAACAGTTTGAGCAACAAAACAAAGAAGGATCAAACTGTAACCCCACATAGAAAAATAAATATCCAAGATTCCATACTGCTATGAAGAAATAACTGAATACATACATTCATGAGGGGGAGAATAGACACATCTGTGTGGAGTGAGTCCATATAATTTACATGGATAATCCACCCACAGGGAAGTAGAGCACAAGTCCACACTCCTTACAGGTGGGCAGCACATAGGGACTTTTTCTAAGGAGTCCAGCATGGAAAACGTGAAAAAGGCTGAATTCACAGTGGAGAAGGCTGATGAAGTGGAGCTGGAAGGTCATGAAGGAGGGGAGCCCATGCTTGTATATCTGAGATAAGAACTATCGCAAGGACTCCCTAAAACCCACAAGAGATTATGGCACATCCTACATGTTTTACACCATCAGCAGGTCTTACACACTTTGCTTATTCTGCATGGCCACACGTATTTCTATAACTGCATTTTCTTCAAGACTGCAGCATTCCAGATAAAATGTTCTCTCAAGAACACATGCCTAGCAATGACTGTCTGCACCAATAAGCTAATGCCAACTCCTGCAATCAGCTGCTGTGACCAATACATTTATTTCCAAGCAGTTTCTGTGGACTTCTTTTTCCCTGTAAAAGTTTCCCCTTACCCAAACCTCTCAGGATACACCTGTGACTTGTTATACCCAGTGCATTCCTGATTCCAATCCTTCATTCAAATAAACTCATTGTCTTTTGAGAGCTAATCTCTGCTGTTATTTTAGGTTGCCATAATCAGTCTAGTTCAATAGATAACATGTAAATTAATTCAACTATGAACAACTACTTCGGAACTATTTTTCCTCTATGGGTAAACATGGTTTAGTGCCACTACCAAGGATTATGAAGTGTTTCACTTGTTTCTCCTTGAAAGCATCATTAGGTTTATCACCTGATGTTCTCAATGCTCAAAGCAATGAACATTTTAAACTTAATAAAATTTTCACTCTGAAAGATCCCTTTTTTTTCCAGTGTAATTCATAAGGTTTAAACAAAAGCATGTCACTTAGTAGTTTGAAATCCATCCCCCAAACAGAAATAAGAATATACTTTTTAAAAATTTTTTTATTTCATTTAATTTGATGAACTATTATTTGAGTAGATAACTCCAAATTTTACAATAATATGTAGTTCATTATCCAACTTGGATTTTATCTATTAAAGATAAAACATTTATCTCTTTAAACATGTAATATTATACTCTTATTAAAGAAGAACAACATTTAAGTTAATATACCACACTCCATTGGTCTCAACTAACTTAAAAAATTTAAAAATTAAAAAAAATAGCCCTCAAATTGTGAAAAGAAAGTTCATTTAAAAGGTGCTTATCTATACAATGTTATTTATCTGCTGAGTAGCCTTAAACAAATCATTTTTCCAGCAGTCCATTATCAACTCTGCTTGCTCATCTGGAAAATGCAGTCATGGTGGGATAGCATCCTTGTAGAATGATATAAGCACTAAATTCGTTATTCTATGTAATGCACCTAGAACAATGCCAAGCATGTTTCCGTGCTTTTAAAACTGTTAGTCCTTCTCATTTCCCATAAAATATTTCCTTGGTAATTGTCCCTTTCCAGGTGATATGTACAAAAGTAATACAAACAGCACTCAGTGGAAGGTCTTTGCAACTGCTTCTCACAATAAATCTGGACTAAAGTCCCATGCCTAAGTTCTTACTGAGGAAGGGGACAAAGCCAGCCCAGATCTTCAGTAGAAGCAGACGGTGTGAAGAAAGCTTCTTCCTGACTTCGCCTCCATTTGCAACAGCAGCTCCTCCAGACTGTCTTCCATGTCGTCTGACTGCTGCAGGCACTGGCAAAGCTCACAGATGAGGAAAGCTCCCAGGGTGGCATCTTCCAGGGTATCTTTGATGTCTATGTTGATCACATGCACAGGCTGCAAGGTCTGCTGTTCTCTGGAACACAGATCTTCCACCACTGTGTCATAGACACTCTCCTCACAGGTGAAGATGACATCAAAGAAATCAGTGCACTCCTGAAATCTTTCTGGACCAGGCTTGATTCTCTCATTTCTTCCCAAGATGTGTAAGATCCCATTGTGGGTGTAACATTCTCTATCTTTCCTGACGAGGTCATTGTACATCTCCTTATATGTTGCTGCAAAATCATAAACTACAGGACGACTGGGTCTTGGTCCTGGTAGCCTCACATGAGATTCCGTTCCGAAAGACCGGACACTCAGCCCTTTTCTCTTGAGGATGCTGTGGGCCTCCATGCTCCTGTTGATGTTGCTCACACACACCACAGCCACCCTGAGTGAGGAGGAGAACATGATGGCAGCCACTGGGAACCAGAGAGACACAGACACCTCAGCTGCAGCACGGACTCTGAGCCAAGGAGACGACCACCTGTAGCCAGGTCTTCCAAATGAGCTAATGTGGAGGCACAGGAGGCAGGTTTATATTGAGTCACCTTAATCAGTGGGTGGAGACTTCATGACTTCTGGATTGATTAGGTTGTGATAATGGACTCCTAACTCATCACAAGAACCATCAAGATGATTAAATTACCTCAAGCAGTAACTCTCAACAAAGGTGGCACCACCCAGTCCGGATTAATTTAAAATCTGGAGTTTGCTCTGTTGGTTCTCCTAGTGAATGGGGGCTGCTATTGACAATGGTCAAGACAATTAAGCTTCCTGCAAGCATGTCATAGGACTCTCCAGGGACCTTCAGACATGAAATTGGATGATAAGCATGCTGACAATTTCCAAGGCCGCACCCTATTTAATGATAAATTACAAGTATTGTCGCTTGTTTTAATTTTCATAATGTTCAAGAAGTGCAGTTGCATAAATCATAGGACCACTGTATATAGCCTTGTCCAGAAACTCACAAAATTTTCACCAATACAAAAAGAATCCCATTCTGAACAACACATCTGCTTATGCTATTTTAAGAGTTATTGAACACCACATTTTTCTGCATTTGATATTATTGAACTCATAATGATTCTTCAGGGAATGCAGGAATTGATGCAATCCTGTGCCTCCGAGTACATCTGTGTTTGAGCTTTTCTACACTTAAATGCAATGTTTAGAATTTTTTTAGTAGTTGTATAATTTATTAAGAAAATAAAAGAGATTTTAAAATTATGAATGGGATTTCAAAAAATAAGATAATCATGTCTCTTTTGAATTGATTAGATTATGATAATGGACTGCTACTCACAAATACAATCAAAATGATTAAATTCCTAATTCAGTAACTCTCCACACAGGTGGCCCCCACCCAGTCAGGACTGATGTATAGGTGAGCTCACCCTCACCTCACCCGGCCCAATTTTACTTGTTTTTATTAATCTTTCTTAAATGTATGTATAGCTCACATTTATTTCAGTATAAATCAGATCAGGGACATCACTTTTGTCCCTGGTGCAGGGACAAAATCTATCTTTGAAGCAACATACTGTATTTTTCTACGTCCCTCTTACGGTGATTGTTACATTGCAAATACAGCAGGTTCTCAAATAACATCTTTTTTTTTTTCTTTTTCATTTTTTGAGACACAGTTTTGCTCTGTCAACCTGGCTGGAGTGCAGTGGTGCCGTCATGGCTCACTGCAGCCTCAAACTCCTGGGCTCAATCAGTCCTCCTACTTCAGCCTCCTGAGTAGCTGGAACTACAGGTGTGTACCACCATGTCCGGCTAACTTTTTTTTTTTTTTTAATAGAGGATGGGGTTTCACCATGTTACCCAAGCTGGTCTCAAATTCCTGGGCTCAAGTGATCCACCAGCTTCAGCCTCCCAAAGTGCTGGGATTACAGGCATGAGTCACTGTGCCCAGCCTCGAATAATATCATTTTATTATAATATTAATTTAAAAAATTGACTTCTGGCAGGCCAATGTCTGCGTGGGGTTTGCATATTCTCCCCATGTCTGTGTGGGTTTTCTCTGGATACTCTTGTTTCCTCCCACATCCCAGAGATGTGCAAATTAGATGAACTGACATCTCTATGGTCCCAGTGTGAGGGTGTGCCCTGTGCCCCGGATGGGGTCCTGTCCAACATTGGGTCCTGCCTCGCACCTAGAGCTGCCAAGATAGGTTCCAGCCACCTGCCACCCTGAACTGGAATCATCGGGTTGGAAAATGAGTGAATGAATACAAATTATTGAAAAATAAAAATTCATAAAACATGCAGTAATCATACAAATGCAAGACAATAACGATGAGAGTACAAAATAGATCAGCCAGCCTGTAGTGTCTGTCATTATTGATTTTTTAACTGTGTAGTAGTAGGAGGTGCTCCTTACAATTTTTTTTTTTGCAAACATTTATTCCTTGGTTTAACTTAACCGCAACTGCGACCACGATCACCCACTGATTCACCAAAAATTAGGTGAATAATAATCTTACTAGGTTTTATTAGGCTTTCTTAATTGTATGTACAGCTCACATTTGTTTCTAAGTTTAATATTCTAAGTGTGTTGAATCTTTATTTAGAAATTTGGTGATTTTTGTGACTCTTGTTCATATCAATTAGCCTATGACAAAATTAATTTTATCATACATCATTTCACTTGAAGTCATCATTTTGGGTTTGGTGGCTCATGCCTGTAATCCCAGCACTTTTGGAGGCTGAGGCGGGGGGATCACCTGAGGTCCAGAGTTCGAGAACAGCCTGGCCAACATGGTGAAACCCTGTCTCTACTAAAGAAATACAAAAAAATGTGCCGGGCATGGTGGCGGGTGCCTGTAATTCTGGCTACTCCAGAGACTGAGGCAGGAGAATTGCTTGAACCTGGGAGGCGGAGGTTGCAGTGAGCAGATATCATGCCATTGCACTCCAGCCTGGGCAAGAAGAGCCAAACTCCATCTCAAAACAAACAAACAAACACACAAACAAATTAGGAAACACCTTAAAGTTTCTCAAAGTGTGTTCTTAGACTAGCAGCATTAGCATTAATTGGGAACTTGGAAAAAATGAAAATGTAGACCCCAAACCAGTGAATCACAAAGTCTAGTGGTGAACCCCAGAGGTTTGTGTTCTTTTCTTCCCATTTCCATGAATTGTTCAGGTTCACATAAGTGATAATGTTTGGAAAGTCTTCTCTCTAGTAGGTTTCTTTGTGGGCAACACAGGAGATAAACTGCCTGAATTGCTGTGTATCTTTCCTTCACCCTGACACAGGGGCCACATCGTGGCTGGGTACAGCATTGCTGGGCTGTAGTCCTTTCTCTCAGTAGTCCTTAACTGCCATGCCACTGTCTGTTCCAGCATGGGAGATAAAAAGTCTAATTCCAGCATCACTCTTCTTCTGTAGATAAGATGCTATTTTTAATTGGATGTTTGTAAAATTTTTCTCTTTCTCCTTAGTGTTAAAAATTTTTACCAGAAGATGCCTCAATGTTTCTTATTTCTCTTCACTCTAGTCCAGTATTTCTCCATTTTTTCATCAATCCCCACTTATGGAGCCTTTTTAGACACTTTTTCCTAATCGCTGTCTCATACAATTTTAATAGCACAGGTATATTGTATATTTATGTACTGTATTTGTGCTTTGTACATAAAGAGAGTGAGATTTTTATTCACTCCCCCAAGAACCAATATTTGCCCCATTAGGGACACTATCACCCCCTTTTCACCTCTGTTGAGAGAGCATGGTTTAACCTGAAACAGTGAGCCTTTTATTACACTTCAAGGAATAATCTACTATTCTTGGTTTAATTATTGTCTTCTCTCCATTAATACCTTTTACTGCTTGTGACACTTTGTTATTCTTCATTTATCCTCCAAGTCCCTTATCTTTTCCTCATGGTTTCTTATATTTTTGCTTCTTGTTTTGAAATATTTGTGAAATCAAATTTGTATCTCAAGGAAGACCATCCCTTCTCTCAATTCACTGACTAAATTATTTATTAGTTTGGCCTCAGAAAGCATGGCCCCCTTGAATTTTTTTAATGGGGTTTTTTTTTCTTGTAAATCTGTTTAAGTTCCTTATAGACGCTGGATATTAGACCTTTGTCAGATGTATAGTTTCCAAATATTTTCTCCCATTCTGTAGGTTGTATACTCTGTTGATAGCTTCTTTTACTGTGTGGACACTCTTACGTTTAACTAGATCCCACTTGTGAATTCTTCCTTTTGTTGTTCCTCTGGTGTCTTTGTAATGAAATACTTGTGCTTTCCCCTGTCCAGGATGGTATTGCCTAGGTTGTCTTCCAGAGTTTTGATAGTTTGGCATTTGACATTTAAATCTTGAATCTACCTTGAGTAGATTTTTGTATATGGTATAAGGAAGGGGTCAAGCAGCAATCTTCTGCATGTGGCTAGCCAGTTATCCCAGCACCATTAATTGAATTAGGGAGTGTTTTCCTCATTGCTTGTTTTTGTCAGGTTTGTCAGAGATCAGATGATCAGGTGTGTGGCCTTATTTCTGGGCTCTCTATTGTACCATCGGTCTATGTGCCTGTTTTGGTACCAGTACCATGCTGTTTTGATTACTGTAGCCCTGTAGTATAGTTTGATATCAGGCAATTTAATGCCTCTGGTTTTGTTCTTTTTGCTTAGGATTGCCTTGGCTATTCAGGCTCTTCTTTGGTTCTTTATACATTTTAAAATAGTTGTTTTTTTGTTCTATAAAGAATGTCATTGGTCAGTTGATAGGAATAGCATTGAATCTGTAAATTGCTTTAGGCAGTATGGCCATTTTAATGATCCCATCCATGAGCATGAGATTTTTTTTCCCATTTTTTGTGTCTTCTCTGATTTCTCTGAGCAGTTTTTATAATTTTCATTGTAGAGATCTTTCACCTCCCTGGTTAGCTGTATTTCTAGGTATTTTATTCTTTTTGTGGCAGTTATGAATGGGACAACCTTTCTGATTCGGCTCTTGGCTTGACTGTTGTTGATGTACAGGAATGCTAGTGATTTTTGTGTTTTAATTTTGTATCCTGAAACTTTGCTGAAGTTGTTTATCAGCTGAAGGAGCTTCTGGGCCAAGACTATGGGGGTTTTCTAGATATAAGATCACATCGTCTGCAAATAGAGATAGTTTGTCTTCTTCTCTTCCTATTTTTATTTCTTCCTCTTTTTATTTCTTCCACTTTTTATTTCTTTCTCTTGCCTGATTTCTCTGGCCAAGACTTCCAATACTATGTTGAATAGGAGTGGTGAGAGAAGGCATCCTTGTTTTGTGCCAGTTTTCAAGGGGAATGCTTCCAGCCTTTGCCCATTTGATAAAACGTTGGCTGTGGTTTTGTCATAGATGGCTCTTATTATCTTGAAGTATGTTCCTTTAATACCTAGTTTATTGAGAGTTTTTAACATGAAGGGGTTTTGAATTTTATCAAAAGTCTTTTCTGCATCTGTTGAGATAATCATGTGTTTTTATCAAGTTCTGTTTATGTGAGGAATTACATTTATTGATTTGCATATGTTGAATCAACCTTGAATCCTGGGGATGAAGCCTACTTGATTGTGGTGGATTAGCTTTTTGATGTGGATTCATTTGCCTACTTGATTGTGGTGGGTTAGCTTTTTGATGCTGGATTCATTTGCAAGTATTTTGTTGAGGATTTCTGCATCGATGTTCATTAAGGATATTGGCCTGACGTTTTCTTTTTTTTGTTGTGTTTCCACCAGGTTTTGGTATTAGGATGATGCTGGCCTCATAGAACGAGTTGGGGAGGAGTCCCTTCTCCTTAATTTTTTGGAATAATTTCTGTAGGAATGGTAACAGCTCTTCTTTATACATCTGGTAGAATTCAGCTATGAATCCATCAGGTCCTTGGCTTTTTCTTGTTGGTAGGCTATTTATTACTGACTCATTTTTGGAGCTGATTATTAGTCTGTTCAGGGAATCAATTTCTTCCTGGTTCAGTCTTGGGAGGGTGTATATGTCCAGGAATTTAATCATCTATTCTAGGTTTTCTAGTTTGTGTGCATAGTGGTGTTCATAGTAGTTTCTGATGATTATTTTTATTTCTGTGGGGTCAATGGTAACATTTCGTTTGTCATTTCTAATTGTGTTTATTTGGATCTTCTCTCTTTTCTTCTTTATTAGTCTAGCTAGTGGACTATTTATTTATTTTATCTTTTTTTTTTTTTCCAAAAAACCAACTTCTGGATTCACTGATCTTTTAAATGGTTTTTCATGCCTCCATTTCCTTCAGTTTAGCCCCTTTCATTTTGGTTATTTCTTGTTTTCTGCTAGCTTTGGGGTTGATTTTTTTCTTGCATCTCTAATTCTTTCAGTTCTTTCAGTTGTGATGTCAGGTTGTTAATTTGAAAACCTTATAACTTTTTGATATGGGCATTCAGTACTATGAATTTCCCTTTTAACACTGCCTTACCTGTGTCACAGAGATTCTGGTATGTTATATCTTTATTTTCATTAGTTTCAAAGAACTTCTTGATTTCTGCCTTAATTTCATTATTTTCCCATAAGTCTTTCAGGAATATGTTGTTTAATTTCTATGTAATTTCATATTTACCCAAAAGTCATTCAAGAACATGTTGTTTAATTTCCATGCAATTTCATGATTTTGAGTGGTTTTCTTAGTCTTGACTTCTATTTTTTATTGTGTCATGGCCTGAGA